AACATGAAACCTGCCCAAACAATGAAATGCTTTCCTGTGCAATCTCTGTAGTCAATCCAGTCACTTCATTTAGGAGTCTGTTGGAGAGCTTTGGGCTTTGTCACCTTCCCCACCATGATGGTAAGGAAGAATCATTGGCAAGTCTTTACTCTGTTGTGCTGTGTGGGGCATGAGCTGGAGTGCAAACGAAGTGCAGAAGCACAGCTTCAACTTGAAACTGAGGCGGCACTTGCTTTGGTATTACTGTTTTGTAATTACTTTCACATGGAACAGTGATCTCAGAGAGTCATTATCATTTTGAGAGTGATACGTACAGTTACATAGTTTTGCTGAAGAAAGTCTAAAATAAGAGGATAAAATGACTTTTCTTAATTCTGTTTCTTTGAGGGTTCAGAAATGTTTTCAGAGTTTGGCTGAAAGGTCCTATGTTGTTTTGGTGATGTAATTGAGAGTGTGCTTTCTGCAGGTTCCTTAAGTCAGTTATTCACAAATCAGTAGTTTATCAATTCATCAGAATTCTGTGGCTGTGTGCACGTATTTTCATATGTCATATGTTTTATATGTATATAATCATATAAATGTGTGTGTATATATATATATATATAAAGTTGCAAATAATTCTTCTACCAAGAAAGGGCCCGCTAAGTCCTTTGACTTCATGTGTGCAGGATGGTAAATAGGATTTTAACTTTAATGTGCAGTTTGAACTGTGTGTGAGGGTAGATGGTGATCTGAGAGACCTTGTGCTGAGTGTGTGTGCTGTGTAACACAGACATTTCCTTATGTCAGCAAGCTGTCCAAAGTGATGTGTGGCTGTGTTTATCAGAACTTTATTTTATTTAGATCTAACAGAAACCAATGTCATTCTACTTAGGCTAGAGGTGCAAAGGGAATAGTGAGATTTCAGAGCTATCCATTCAATCAACAAAAAGCATGGAGGATAATCAGTGCTTTTACAGTAACGATTCAAGGGGTTACGTTGTTTTGCTGTGATTTTCTCTGCTCCCTGCAATTTACAGCACTATTGTGGATTGACCAGTGAATATTACCTAAATTCAGATGTTTGAGGACTCTGTTCCTTCTGTATATTTTAACTACTAAAGTTGTTTAACCTTCGCAATGTTTCTCATCTGCTTTGCCACACAAGAATTCTTTGTGGACATGCATACAGATTTTTTCTTTACTGAAATACACCTTTCTCAGAATAACGACTCTCTAAAATTATAGCACCAGAATTCTAGTATGTTTCTGTATATTATTTTTGTCAAACCATACCCTTGATTTGTAGGGAGGTTGAAATGCATCTGTAAGTCCCAGGAGGTCTGAGACTGATCCTTGAAGCTGTTCGATTCTAAATAGTTAATTAATGTCATATATGAGATCTTTAAAGAACAGTGTTTATGCCTCTAATAATCTACTGGAAGTGTTCATAAGCACTCCTTGGAAGTTTAGCCATTGAATAAACCTTTTAAAGGGAGGAGGAGGAGATGTGTGGCTTGCAGCCTTCTTGCCAAGGCTGTATGTTCTGTTGGTGACAGCTTCGTCCACACCTGGCCAGCTGCAAACCCACTGTTGAAATTCAACAATTTAAAACACAACAGCTTTTACAGTCAGATGGGTGAAGGGGGCAGTTTCTCCTGCTGCCAAGACCCTAGTGGAACTGAGGTAGTCCTGGTTTGTTGTAAAAGGAAAGCTGGTTTTGGAGGTGTCTCGCTGCCAGGGCTCCAACTAAAGTCAAGGCAGACACCAAGGAGGAGCTGCGTCAGCCTTCCCATCAGCATCCCTGTCGTGGTGCACCCCAGGGACTGAACTGGTGGCAGAGCTGCCGCTTCTCACTTTGAATCATGATGCATTTCAGGCAGCATGTCTCTTCTTTCTCTATGCTGGATGTCATTCTTTGTGGGAGCCTGGATAAATATTTCAGTCTGTAGGAGTTCAGGAGAGCCTAGGTATCACCTAGCAACAAGCATCCCACTCTCTGCCTCCTGCTTCTCTTTAGTTTTATTAAAATGCCAGTCAGTCTCTTTACTTTTATTAAAATACCAGAAGTTCAAAATTTAAGTTAATTTTCGGAAATATTTTTGAAATATTAGAGCAACCTGAGATATTTTTGTTACTGACACCATGTCAGAGTAACAAAGATATTGGGAGGTGCCGGTGGTCTTAGAGCAAGTAATTCAGTTTGCCTCATCTTAAGAGAAATTGTCAAAGACAAGCAAAAACTTCAGCTGAGAACAGAATAAACTTTATGTTCGCAGTTGGGTTGTCAGTGAAAAAATGCATAGAAGTGCTCTTGTGGTCCGGTTACTTGGCTCCACTTGCAGATTGCGATGCCTGCTGATGGGACACCGGCTCACATTGCAATTTCTTCTTCTCTACAGAAAAAACAGGTGGCAAAGTATTTTGCCTAGTCTAAATTATAGCGGTGCTGAATCCAGTTTATGAAGATCTTTGGGGCCAGATCCAAGGCAAGAAATGTAGATAATTGAGTGCAGGTGTAGGTGAAATTTTGGGTAGGCAGATACAGTACAGTGATGCATTGACTTTTGTCTTCTCCTGTCCCTTATTGCTTCTGAATGGGAAAGCCTGTTGCAGATCTGTAGCTTTACATAAATAGGAATATATTATTTGTAGATTCTGCAGAATGTTTGGTTTACAGAGTTCACAGATTTCTCTGCAAGAACCAGAAATGTAGGAAACAAAGGAGGCAAGTTGATAGGACAAGGGGGAATGGTTTTAAGCTGAGACAGGGGAGGTTTAGGTTAGATATTAGGAGAAAGTTTTTCACACAAAGGGTGGTGACACACTGGAACAGGTTGCCCAAGGAGGTTGCGGATTCCCCATCCCTGGAGGCATTCAAGACCAGGCTGGATCCCAGGCTCTGGGAAGCCTAGTCTAGTGGTTGACGACCCTGCACATAGCAGAGGGATTGAAAATAGATGATCTTTGTGGTCTTTTCAACTCAGGCCAGTCTATGATTATGATAAGTATGTGGCTACTATTAGCATACAGGTAGCCATTCTCAGTACTGCATTGATGGCAACCACTTTTCTTTATGCTCTGTACACTGCTAAAAGTGTTCTTCCAATTATTCTGCTGCATCTGGTGATTAGGATGGCCTTTGTGAGTTTGGAAGTAGTCACTCTTAGTCTTCATGAATCTGGATGTGACTCGAGGCGTTTGAAAGGGATTATAAGGGGATTTATTGAGAGGGATTGCAAGTTCAGATTTGAGAGCTTTGAAGAATAAAAGTGCATATATTTTTTAAAGTAAAATAAATGATTCAAGACAGTGATTCAGAGGTATGGTTATATCCAAATACGGATTTTGCTTTGTAGAGAGAAAAGTTCAGCAAATTACTACTTTGTAACGTAGTTGATATTTTCTGTGTATGTGTGTGTTCTACCTTATATAAGCAAATTAGAAAAAGGAGGTGTATGACATAAGGAGTACTTATAAGGAATTTACTTAAAAATTAGTAGTACATAAAAGAGATAATGAAATGACACTTGTATGAACTTGATATTGTATAGAAACTGAGACAAACATATAAAAACGTTCCAATTCATTAAAATACTTCTCTACAAATAAAAGTAGCCTCCATTTGTCTATGAATATCTAGCATGATTATCCTAAAAGTCTTCCCATGTTCCTTACTCTAGCCCTCTCTGCCAAGCACTGGGGACGTTGACCAGATGAAAAAGAGTTGTTTCCAAACTGGGCTTTTTAAATTTCCATTTGCTTTTTGTTCTTGACATAGGAGAAGGAATCTAATGTTCAGTGGTACGACACAGGACAGAATCAGTGCATTAGATCTGTAAGGACAGACGGCCCTGTTTTTCATGTACATTTCCATGTCATTTCATCTCAAACCAAAGCTGTACAATGCTTCTGAAAATGAGGCTGCTCGTTGAGCAGGTATTTTCAGATAGAGGTTTAACTCTCTGTACCTTTGTGATACTAAGGAGCATAGTTTAGTGGGCAATATTGGTGATAGGTGGACAGTTGGACTAGATGATCTTAGTTGTCTTTTCCAATCTTAATGATTCAGTGATTCTCTTCACCCGTAAACAGCCTAAAAAAGTCACGGTTAAGTTATTTGGCCTATATGTGTGGAATTTGTGGCCAGTGTTCATTGCCCATCACCATCAGTGCTCTTTGCCACCCTTGCTGGCCATCTCAGTTCTAGGAGGCTGATTCCTGTTCTATCGTCAAATTATGTGTTCTGTATTTTGGGTGTCCTGGATTGTGTTTTGGGCTGTGGGATGGTTGCAATGCTGGAGCTGCTTGTGCTTATCAAAGAGTCTATGCAGTAGTACTTCAATGAACTTGGAGTGCATTAGGGAGAGAGACTGCAGTGATGTGGTGTGTGGAAGGAAATGGGAAATGGGCAATTCATTGCTTGGTAAATCATGCAAACTTGAAGAAAATGAATAAGCAAAGGCAGTTATTGCTAAAGAAGTATGTTTTTTATGAAAGAGCAATTGTACATGATTTAATAATGCAAATATGGTCACGATTGTAATTAGCTACATAACTGCGTTTTAGCAGTTTTGAAACATGTATCTATGCTTTTTTCAATTGCCATAGCCACAGTAACCTAAGAACATGCCAGCATTTGTTTGTTTTCGTGAAGCTAAGTTGCATTACAAAGTTTGCCTCTACAAACTTGATGCAAACATAATGGGCCTTGAAGAATAACTGCGAAAAGCTTAGAAATGAACAATCTGAGAACACTGAATAAAATAATTTGTTAACAGGAAATATATAGAGCTTTCTCCAATATAGTTAATATAGTTGTATCATAATAATCCAGTTTTATTTAAAATGCTTATGATCGTACTGTTCTTCTAAGCTGTTTCACTGCAAAGCAGAAATCTGTGGTTACCTTATTACCTATATATATGTGTGTGTAGTAATATTTGAGAATTTAATTAATAAGCCAATAAGAAAATAAATCAATTGTATGCCAACTAAGTTATTCCTTTTTTTCTTTTCAGGATTGAGGTGGATCTAGGGACGAATGGATGACTGAATATTCATATGAAGAGGAAAGCCATAAAAGTTGGTTGACATTTTTACAGCCATATGCATTATGCATATTACTGCTATTACAAAAAATCACAATATATTACGCAACAGAATAGATGAAGCAACCAGTCAGAGTTTCAAGTGCCATATTGTCTTTCCTGCAGGGGACAACTTTAGCTTGATTTAACTGTAGCTTAATGCAACAGTTTCTGAGTTAAAAACAAACAAACAAACAAACAAACAAAAAAACACAACAGAAGAAAGCAAACAAACAAAAACCGCAGACCTGAACATTCAAGTGAAAATGTAGTAGTGCCTTAAGCAAATGAGTAGTGCCATGCCATAGAGATCAGGTGTTTGAATGGTCAGACACACAATGGGGTGTGTTATTCTTCTGCACAAAGGTGTAGGGTGAATGGGTTAGGTGTTATCTTCCATTGCGTATGACGACTGTGAAGCTTAATATATTGTTGTGTGGCAGTCAGGTACCACGCTGACAAATGCCGTGTAAGTCAAATAGGATACGATGTTTTAGTAAATACCTTGGTGCTTTGCTTTCTTACCATGCAGAGATATGTCATACCACCTGTGTTTTCTATGGTAGATGGAAAGGAGAAACTATTAGTGCATTACTGAATTTATTGTTATGTTTCATAAGATGATAGAATTCAGTAGGACTTGACATTTGTCAGTCTGACCTGTTGGTGAACTATGGACTTTGACTGGGATGCTGTGTTAACCAGTACCAGCCAAGGATGTTTAGACAAAGCTGACCGTACCTGGGTTTGCACCAGATGAAATGAATTGCAGTGGCAGATGCAATGCACAGAGCAGTGAAATGCAGTGGAACAGCTCAGTTAAGTAAGGCATTCTGGAAACTATTTGTCGAGAAGGGATGTGTCATAGTAGAAAAGCTCTTTCCCAGAAAGTTTTCTTCATCCCCTGAACCTTGGACAGGAGCAGGAACAATCGAAGAAACAGTCGAATCGAAGCAATTAAGGTTCTCCAAAAGTGCAGTTGACTACCAGAAATATATAGCTCTATTTGAGCAAAGTATTTTAGTAGAGCTAAGATTGTCATTTATCACAAAGATAATTTGGTTATATCAGTACTTGAGTGTCTCAGATGATCTACAGTTTACTGACAGCTGACTTAGTTATGGAAGACTTAAATTCCTGGATTAGTCTTTTTAGTTTTTGCAACAGGTAAAAGATGTGTTGTTCCTAACTATCTGAAGTTTCACAAGGAGCACAAGCCTTGAGTGAAGTATCTGTGTCCTTGAACCCAACCTCCTGATATAACAGCCACTGAAATAATGTTTAGTTTAGAAACATCTGTAGAACATCTGCGTTTTATACCACAGGTTCCTGAAAACCTCCAGGAGCCAAATTTAAACCTTAATAGAGTTGACGAGTGGTATTACTGGCTCTGTGGCATAATTCCTTTCCAGGATCGGGGCCTGTATTCCCAGATACGAACCAGCAGTTGCTGTCTGTGAAAGCCAGCATGGAAAGTCTTAAGGAATTTCTCTGATTTAATTGCTGACACGTCCATGACTGGTCTCTATACAAATATGTATGATAGCTTGGGATAGGATGACATCGTGGAGGAGCAAACACTTCCCTGCTCAGAGCTCTTGGCGTATAAATAGTAGTGTGAAAAACTGATACCATTGAGACTTTGCTTGCATCTTACAGAATGACAGTGACAAAATTCTGTACATACAGACTAAAAGGGGGGGGATGGTGACGACGCTTCACTGGCAGAAAGTTAATGAGAGGTTGTCAGTACCCTCTTAACTATCTGTAAGTTATTTCTGGATTTTGGAATTGGGGTGGACTCCACATACTGTCCAGAAAACAGGATAAGACAACACAGTCATGGTGTAATAACATTTGTGTTGGAGGAGAAACATGTTCAGACTAGAGGGCCATGCTATGTATTTGGCCTGGGATGTGACACTAGGGCAGAAAAAATTAAAGATCTGTCAGATCCACAAGATTGGTTGCTGTAACCAGGAGAAAGTCTGAATGTTCCTTGAGTTCATATGGCCATTTTCCAAATCTCTTGGAAAAGACTGTAGTTGTGTGAGAAATGCAGCACTTCTAGCTCTGTATCTCTGATCCTTTTTTATTTATTTGATTCAGTGTGGAGTGATGGCAGGAAGAAGAGGAGAAATGGGATGACCTCGTTCTTTTCATAGCATAGTTCTACTCTCATGTTCCTCTGATATTCCTCAGTAATCATGGGGAAGCTGTGCAGAATATGTGCAGATAAGGAAGAGAATGCTGCATTATTTCATTGTGTTTTTTCAGTTTGGCAGTCTTTGCAAACATGGGGCTCTGAATCCAGCTGTTAATCTTTTAGATTAAGAAAATACCATGATTAAATCATATAGCTGAACAGTGAAAAACAAATGATTTTTTATGGAATAACTCAAGGTCTGAGACAAAAATCCTTGTCTGTGAAGACTGATTCCAGAAAAATTAAGCAACAGAGGTGGAGGGGCATTCTCAGTGATTGCTTTTAAGATCAGTTGATAAAATTCTGACTCCAGTGGGGAGGAGACTGGAGGATTTCAATCAGCACCCTGGTTTTCAGTTTTTTGTACAGCTGTGAAAATGCTGCTTGGCTAAATAAGTTTTGAAAACCAAGATTTTTCTAGTAATATGGAATGAGTGTGTTGATATATCATTGGTAGTATAAAGATCTTGGATTGCATCATCTGTATGCTGTATTGGTATTTTTAAACTCTTTGATGGTCTCCCTCAAACCGTATCACGATGTGTGTAAATTTACTTTTATGTAAATAACTGACGTCTAGCCATATATGTAATTTTGGATGAAATATGTTTTATTTTAACTTAATGTTTTATTTTTCATAAAATAATGTCAGATGAATCCTTCACAGCAAAGTAAGAAACATGCATGACAAACTTGATGGCATGCGTGCATATTGGAATGGTTCTGTGTTGTCTGTAACAGTGTCTGAATCCAGAAATTCAGTTCTTTGTTGAATATAGCATTTAAGATTTACATTTTTCAGTCTACATTGATTGAATGTGAATTCATAAAGAAGAGAGTCAGGTGTAGAAGCTGATGAGGAATTTGATAACTGGCAAGGAGGAGCTAGAGCTCCGAAAGTCCTAGACAGCAATATTAAGACTGCAGGCCAAAAGAAGTGGGTAGGCTTGAAAGGTGGTCAGAAAGCTTAACTTAAGGACAGAAGAGGGGAGAAGAAGTTGCTTAGATTAACAGACCTGCCTTTTCAGTGTGTGGTCTTAGGTGCAGTCTCTCAGTCACGCTGTGGTTTTATGGACAGCCTACTTCTGGACAGCTCCTTTATTGATAAAACAACGATATTGTAAATTAATTAAGGTCATGCTCAAAAAATGTAACGCGACACACAGAATCGTACTGAATTCATTGGTGGTAGGAGCTGACTGCTTATTTTCTTGAACATGTCTGTGTGACAAACCTGAAAAGTGAGAATGTAACCAGTGTGTCATCTCTTAATAAGAAAGAGGAAACTTTTGTCCAGCTATTTCAGTTCAGCATCACCTTCCTCAACTCCGGTGCAGAGCAGGATGTCTGAGAGTGAGGGCATGTTGCTGACGTGGTGAGAGCAGGGCTGCTGTTCAGGTTGGGTGAATGGGCTGGCAGGAGACTCATCAGGGTCAGCAGAAGAAAATGTAAAGTGCTGCTCATGGGGAGAAACAACTCCACACAGTAGACTGGGCAAGTCCCTGAGCTGTCTGATGTATCCCTGAAACTGCCCTTTTGAATGGAGTTTGGTCTTGTTGGACTTCATTCTGTATTTTACTTTGATTTTAGAGTCTGATAATGATAAAGGTGATTGTTTTTATTAATAATGTATATTTGAGGAGTTTTTATGTTGTTGTTTGCATAGTGTATCCTGCTGTCACAGTACTGGTAGCAGTGTGGCAGTATGTTTGGTTTTTGTCATCTGCTTTCTCCTCTGTGTCTGTTGCAAGTACTTGTCCTAGAAAGGAAGTGACTGCTCTTAAGTGGTCTTTCACATCTAACAGTGTTCAATGGATTACTGCAGTATGATTGCAGATAGAAGTATCAACAGGATAAAATGCATTCGTCTCAGGAGAGTTATCTTGCACTGGCCATCAATCCTTCCTGTTATGTTCTTTTCAATGTAGATTACTCTAGGGTAAAGAGGCTGCAGTTTGATGTTTTGTTTCAATTCATTATGGTTATAAATACCTTGGGTAAAACAGTATAGCAAGCAACCACTTAAAAATGACCATTGGCCAGATTGAGCAGGGTACAAAGCCTGGAAAGTTCTTTGGGTTTCATCTGCTGGGTAGCATTTGTTGGTATCTGTCCCTTAGCAATCCATTGGTGGTTACTATTTAATGGATGCTTAACAGCTAAAACAGATAGCAGAGTGTTTTGTCTGACATCCACTGATATACACTGAATAGAGCTGCTTTTACTTTTAATCATTTAAAGATATAAAGGACTCTGAAATGGTAACATGGGAGGAAAATTTTACTTTTTCCAAAACCTTATATTCAGAAAAGGGAGATGCAGCAGAGATGCTCTGTCTTCTTCTGTCCCTTAAAATGATCATGTACAGCACACTGGGTCTTGGCTCTCTTCTATTCATTTCCTCACTGTTCTGCTATGTTTACAGTGCTCTTCAGCAGCTGGCTTGGGGCAAGTATCCAAAACACACCCCATAAAACCAGTTCATCAGACTTAGGGACTAATCGTGCTTGGTGTTTGACTTGTGACCTGACCTTGTTTAAACCAAGGATTTTAATTTTGAGGCTTTTGTGCTTTTATTTTATTCCTGCCAATGTGGACTGGGGACAGAGGTCTATGAAAGATCATAACCATTGCTTTAAAACTCATATCACAAAACAAAAATGTATTTGCAGAAGTGTTACTTCAGAAGAATACAAAGTAGTGGTTAAAGGTAGCTGTGGTTTTTCTGTACCCTCAAACTTCAGAAGGGCTGTGGAAGGACGGGGGGATTAGGGCTTCCATGTCAAAGC